TTCATTATTGTTTTATATTTAAAAGTTTTTATCTATTTATTACTATTTAAAATACATAAACATACTTGTTATTTTTTATTCTTTACCATTTAAAATACATGAAAATAATGAAAATGTAGAATATTTTCATTTCTTTTTAAAATCGCGAAAAAAAATTTTAAGTACGTGAAAAAAATTTCTAAGATAAAAGTTACACAAAAATATGTGGCTGATGAAGATTGATTTAAACCAATCATATTTGAGAAAAGGGGGTCTAGTAATTATGTCACGTCTGAAATGTGTGACAGTTACAGCGATCAGGTGACAAATATTGTGTGACAATATGCTAACACCTAACCATTCCTAATACAGAACTTATCGTCGTAACTGTCACACATTTCAGCCTGCATGATTTTGACCCAAAATAGGAAATGATTATAGATGTAGCATTTTACATTGGCCTATATGATTTTAACCCAAAATAGGGAAATGATTATAGATGTAGCATCTTACATTGGCCTACATGATTTTGACCTAAAATAGAAATATTATCAAGACGATCATTTCCCTATTTGGGTCGTAATCGGAAATGATCAAGATGATCATTTCCCTATTTGGGTCGTAATCGAAAATGATCAAGATGATCATTTCCCTATTTTGGGTCGTAATCGGAAATGATTATTAGTGTAGTATTTTACATTTATGCTACAGTTTTTCACTTATTCTTTCTTTCATACTTCAAAATAACAATAACCAACAAATTCTTTTTTTTCAAAATGTCGTCCACCAACAAATATTTCAAAGGAATACTTCAAAATGACAATAACCAACTGCCTCTATATTTTACGGGCTTTCCTGTCCTGGCTCTCAACGTTAAAATCCTTATTACCAACGGAAACACTGTCCTTACAACAAATATTACCAACGGAAAACACTGTTCTTACTTCAAAAATGATAATAACCAACAAATATTACCAACGGAAACCACTGTTCTTGCTTCAAAAATGACAATAACCAACAAATATTACCAACGGAAAACAATACAACTCAGTTGTAATCTAGCACATTTTTTTGATACTACATTTTTTGACTTTTGTGTAACATGAGAAATTTTTAACGTGAAATTTTTTCGTTGAAAGCTTTCGTTTAATAAGGCTAATGGAAGAAAAACTTCAATGCGAGCTTTCTATTTCCAATCTTAGATGATCTTGTGTAATGTGACGATGACATAGATATATATATGGTACGTTGTAGGTCACATTTCAATTTCGAATTTTAACAAACTCTCACATTCAATAAATCTAATGGAGAAACTTCGTGCGTCTGATATTAGCTGGGAAATGATTTTAAAGAAAATTTTCTAAGCGTTCTATTTCAAATCTTAGGTAATGTGATGATGACATGGATATATACGGTACGTGTAGGTCACAAAGACAAATTTCAATTTCGGGAAATGAACTTTAAAGAAAATTTTCTAAGCGTCTATTTCAAACCTTAGATGATCTTGTGCGGTACGTTGTAGTCACAAAGACTCAAATCTCAATTTTAATCGGACATTGGCGAAAATTTAAAATTTTAACACAAACTTTCACATTCTTTAAAGCTAATGGAGAAACTTCATGCGTCTGATATTAGCTGGGAAATGAATTTTAAAGACAAATTTCCAGGTTAGTATTTATTAAAATGTTAGCCAATATCTTTATGCATAATCTTTGTGTAACAAAAATGTGAAGAAAATTGGGAAACGAAATGGTTAAATAGCGACGCAACGTTGTTGTCACAAGACTTATTTTTCAATTTCATCGTAAACTGACAAATAATTTCCTTCAAAGTTTTCACAAAACTACATAACGAAACATAAACAAGCAAAACTCACGTTCAATAAGGCTAATGGAGAAACCTCATGCGTCCGATATTAGCTGGGTAATGCTTTATAATGGATACCATGAATCTAATGACGAATTTCCAGGTTCAGTTTTTATATTCAATCAACAATCAAGGCCAAATGTTTAAAAATTTATTAGCATCTTAACAGATAAATTATTTTGGTTATATAACGTAGATTTAAATACCGATATTCCAAACCGCGAATTTCCAGGTTTTTATTTTAATACTTAAACAACGCCTTTTTCAAATGCTAGCATGATCAATAAGTTAGTAAAATTGATGAGGCGGTATTATATTTCGTCAACGTCTTGGTTTGGATGTTTAAATTATTATATAAAATATTAACCATCTTTTTAACCAAAAAAAAAAAAAATTTAAAAAATAAAAATAATAATAATATAACTTAGAGTCTCCTCGACAAAATATGTCCCAAACGGAAGTCAAATGTAACCAGATTAATGATAAGTCTGAATCAATTGATATTTTCAAGCGTGAAATTGAGGAAGTTGATAAAACACATCGTAAAGCTAAAAGAAAGGTAAAAGCAAAAAATTCATCGCTGCATTTTTTTTTATGTAATTTAATAAATTAATATTAATAATATAATTTTTTCAGGTAAAGCTTTCTATTTTTAAGAGAAATAAGTTTCTTTGTCAACATCCTGGCTGTTTGAAAAATTTTCGGGATAATCATCAATTAAAAATTCACGAAAGAAAACACACTGGTGAAAAACCGCATATTTGTGATTATCTGGGATGCGGCCGAGGATTTTCTCAAAAAAATAATTTAATAGTACATCGAAAAGGACATGAAGGCAAAAAACCTTACGAATGCAATGATTGTGGAAAAAAGTTTGCGCAAAGAATTCATTTGAATGAACATGGGAAAAAACATAACGGAAAAAGGCCCTTTTATTGCAAAATTTGTGATCAAAAGTTCAAACAAAAAATTCATTTGAAGAAACATTTGACGACCAGAAAACACTTACGGGCAAGCAGGACATTTGAAGGTTCATTAGAGATCACGGTTAATGATATTTGAAAGAAGAATAATAAGACAAAGATGATTCAGGTATAATTTTATTGTTTGAAACATTAAGTATGATTAATATGATTAGCATTAAATAATCTTTTTTATTATATATATATATATATACTGTATATACAGTAGATGGTCATCCTGTATTAATATACTAGAGAACGGGGACCGTTGTTAAGTCCGGAACTTTATTGGCCAATCAGCATCGACTCAATTATTAAGCGGGCGGATAACGGGAAACCTCGTGTAGTCCTTCACTTCGTTCCGGACTAATTAATTAATTTAATTATTGTCAAATATGATTAATAAGATAAGATTAAACATACTTTTATGAACAATTATAGAAATAGCAAAGTTTAACTTTAATTTTTTTTTTCATTCTACATGTATGCCTACTTTCATTTAATTCTTGTATTTATATTAGATATAGTACTGTACATACAGAATAGAAATAAAATGTATAATGTTTTTTCTAAATTTAAATTTATAAATCTATATATTTTTCCTTTTAATGTGAAATCTAAATTATAAGAAGAATGGTTTTAATTGATAATCGTGTTATGTTCACGGTTACATTCAATCTTGATAAAATCAATGATGGTAGTTAATTTTTTATGTTTGTTCCAGTCAATTGGACCGTTAGCCCATTGAGCAGTACCAGATGCACCACTACCATCCCAAATACCAAATTGTACATGACTTGGACTATTTGGAAATTGGAATCGACCATCTTTAAATGTATCAGATTTTTTCAACGTTCGAACAAGTTTACCATCAATTGACCACTTGATGAATTCTGGTTGCCAATCAATGGTATAAGTATGAAAACCATCAGTGAAAGCGGGGGAAACGGGATGAATTCCTCCATGGACCCCATATTCAATAATTCCATCAAAGTAATAATTTGATTGAACGTTCTTGGTGTCTTTACCAACCATTTCCCAATCGATTTCATCCCCATTATCTGACATCGTCTATCAGAAAAAACAAAAATGATTTAATTTTTAATTTTAATTTTTTTTTTATTTTTTTAATAAAAAAGTTTAATAACTTACAATGAAAGCGGTAACGCAACCACCAACTCCATTAATCTTCATTCTTGCAGTAATTTTTCCGAAATGCATTTTACGAGTAGAATTTAAACTAACTCCCGCACCTAAATTTTTATTAAATGGACCATCAGGACCCTTTTGACGATTCATATTTGCTGGTTTAAGGAGGCTAGCGAAAAGTTGACCATTCTTTACTTCATAAGAATTTCGACTTCCACTAAGATTGATCCAATTGGCAGAAGAAGGATTCTTATTATATTTGTTAAATTCTACGATCCGGTTAGTATTAAAATCATCCGTAAATGATCGACAAACATTTTTTCCCTTTGACGGGGCAGCCGATACACCATTGAGCAATAATACTGCGACTAAACAAGCCAAGGATTTTTTTATGAAATTTATCATGTTTCGAGAGATTTTGAAATAAATATGGGGGAGGGGAGGGAGGTAATGTTTGTTTAATGAAGGAAGGTAAGAGGTAAAAATTCGAGAGAAAGGAAAGTGAGAGGAGAAGTGATCTGATCTTTGGAAAAGCGATTTCTAACGAAATATTTATAACATTTTTTTAATATGCTGAAATTTTTTTTTTTTTCGTTTTAATGTTTTCCCGGGATGCGCTATACATTCATGCATCAAGTCAAAACCACGGAAAACGTACTTTCTTATTGTTGTGGCCAATCGAGGAAATATTTAATTATTAAAACCCAAATTCATGTAATAAGAATGATTTTCCGTACTTGCGTCAAATCACCGGATTGTTAGCCATGTAAACACGCATGTAATCGGTTGGTAAATCGAATCAAATTCAATATCACATCATATTCGTTAAAAAATAAACGAATGCACTTTGTCAAGAAATTGGAAGTAAATAAACATTTACACAAAACGTCGCAATAGGAATGATGTTTTGTTCCAACGATGTATGATATATATGTCTCTTTGCGTATTGCATGGATGAATAACGTTGGCGGGCGAAATATTTGTTTTTTTTTGCAAAAAAAATAAAAATAAACATTTTTGTTTTTTGCGAATCCGCAGCCAATTTTGGAAAAAAAAAAATTTGTGCGGTAACCTTCATTCAGTCAATGGCTTGGTCTAAATTGGAATGGTCTCATTTTGGCTTGGCTAAAATAACAGGTATTTTCACAAAATATTAAATCCGAAAACGGTGCCGTCTCCAAGGAAAATTACTTTTCAAATGTATAAAATTTTTTCGTCTATATCCTTTTTTCCTCGATATACCAAGCTTGAAAAAATCCTCATAATAGCATGTATCATTCATTCAAGTTTATATTTTATCGTCGGTATCATTAATATGATACATTTGTTAAGATATGATGATACAATAGCTATTTATATTTTAATTCCTTTACTTGTATTGATTCCAATTTGTTCTTCGATTATTATTGTAAGTGCCAAAGCCCATGATTTTATTTTTTGATTTTGTTATAAGAAAAAATTTTTTTTTTTTTAAAAAAAAAATATATATATATATAGATATGGGAAAGATCAGTCTTGCACGGAATTGTTCACATAGTGATGAATATACTATTATTTATACCATATGTTATTTTTACTAAATATTGTAGTAAAAATGAGCATTATTGTTATATTCTTGGTTATAATAAATATTATTTGTTTGGGTCGATTCTTCAAGGCACATTTGTTATAATTTATTGTATTTTAATTTATTTACTTTGGCATTACAAGTAAGTGAATTTTTAATAGTTTTTTTGAAAACTTTTTTTGAAATCTTACCTTTTTTTTTGGATTAGAATTTGGACTACGACGAGAGACATGAAAATTACAAAAAAGCAAAATATTAATAGTAAGCATACCAAGAAAAATCTTTTTAAAGTTATCAAATTTTATTGATTTTTTTTTCCTTAGAAATGTATAAAGTTTATCAATATCAAATGGTTTTAATGCATGCAATTTTCATAATTGTTGGAGGATGGGCTTACTATACGTGGTTAAAAGAAGTAACCATGTTTAATGTTACCGCAAAATCATTTGGAATAGAAAAAAAATATTCGGTTTGGCCCGTATACATTCCCGATCAAATAATATATTTGCTTTCACTGGGATTCATACTTAGAGCTGTAAGTATGCAATCAGTTTATGGGATCATGTGAGATGATATATTATCCTAACTCGAGTTCATTTTAACTTTTAAATAGATAAGAGAAGAATTAAGATGGATTATGAATATTTTATTACTAATCAACATTTTGGAAATTGGAAGTATTTTATATAGGTTAATCGTATGGTGTCCTGATGATTTATTGAATTCCAATGAATTTGGTAGATGCAAGTTTAAAAATAGAATTAAATATGTCACTGATTATACGATCATATTCATAGTCGGTATCTTTTGTCTGTTGATTACTATTTCACATTTCTTAACCCTTTTGATCTGTTATAAGAATTTTGGGAATAATTTTGGATTTTATTGTAAGTATTTAATTTTCCCTCTTGAAAAATAAAAAAAAATCTCATTATCATCGTTATCATTTGAAAAAAAAGTGAGGTATGTTGAAATTCCACCAGAATATAATTATAATGACGATATTCCAAGAAGAAGAAAAGATGTTATTGGACGCGTATAATTTGTATTCGCAGTCTACAATGATAATTCTATGTAAAATATTTCTAATTTTTTTTTTCTTCAGTCTGTGGCGGACCGCAATTTCAGTTAGCTGATCGTTCGGATTTCAATTTCAGATACCCGCCATTTTCAGGCGAAAATCTTTCAAACCTTCCTTGGTAATTTCTGGTTGGTCGACCTTAAACAATTTTATACATAATCGAAAACCTTTTGTCAACACGCAAACTGTGACGTTGACTTCTGCTTTCAATTGTGATTTGTTTCACCATATAAGGATTTTTTGATTTTAATCATGAAAGTAATGGTAAAGAAATTATAAAATGAGATTATAACATACATGATGTACAAGATATTTGTGTAGATCCCTAATAACAAAAACACAAATTAATTTTATTTTTTTTTTTTCGATTGAAATTTTTTTTAAAAAAAAAACTTGGGTTTATGAAATATACATATATACATTACATTTTACTTTTAATAAAATCTCGGGGTTCCCGCAATTAGAATAATAATAATACGATGGTCGAAATTGTTGCTGTCTTAATTTTTTTTTTTTTTTTTAAAAAAAAAAAAAAATTCATCATTTTATTGAGTATTCTAATTATTCTTTTGATGATCTTTATATTATTTGAAACACGGCACTATACGAAAATCTCGAATAAAACCGTTCATCAAAATTTATTAGAAAAATAAAACCGTTGCTTTTTTAATTGAACTTATTTTTTTTTGCGATTTAATGAATATTCGAAAGATAAAAGATTTAATGGGCACCATATTTTCATCCAAAAAATGAAAGATTCAGGTTCATGGTTCATGGTTTTTACGTCGAATTTAACTGTTTCATCCAGACATTCAACATCAAGTTTCATGGGAGAAAAAAAATTAGTCACCTACTAAATAATTCGAGTACATATTACGAGAGAATGAAGCTGAAGAAGCAATTATAACCTTTATCTAATAAAGATTCTTTTATTTGTTTATAAATTATTTGACTTTTAATTAATTTACACGATATAAATAAAAATTACCAATGAAAAAGGAAAATTTTAAATTTAGGGTTTTTAATTAATTTATTTTTAACACCAATAAACATTAACGGCATGAATTATGAAACTTTAATTGGAATTTTTCCTAAAATATTAACGAAGGATCTAAATTAAAGTGAAATGACGCTTTGTGATCCAAAAACGAATTCCCAAAAAGTGCTGCTCAGTCTTGTCTAAATTTAGTAATCTTAATTAATTATTTTTTTTTTTAAGAGTTATTCGTGTAACATTTATAACATTCTGTCAAAATGAATGCCACAGAACGTCAATGTAAACAAGGAGGGAATAGGTCAACGAAGAGCAGGCATCAATTCAAAAAAAAATTCAATGGCAATAAGTTAAAGATCAATTTGTTAACTTGCACGAAAATTTTCTCTTAAAATTTTCTCGTAACAATCAATCTTCATAATCTTCATCAAGCATAAAGCATTGCAGACATTAAATAGAGGCTGGAACCGGTTTTATTTTCACAAACTTGTTTTAAACACTTTTTTAAATTTGAGACCCGGATTTAAACCGAATTTAAATAAAACCGATTAAACCGAGCATTCGGTTGTAATAAACCCGAAAACCGAATTACGATAAGTTTTATAATGTTAACAAAATTTTTTTTCTTTGATTTTTATTAATTTTTATTGAAGGAATAAATATTAAGTATGTTTAAAATGATAGTTAAAAAATTAAAATAAAACATGATCCACCAAATCCGGAGATAATTGAGTACGTCTTGCTGAAATATATATAATTACTTGCGTCTGAAAACAATGTTTCGCTAGATACAGAAGTTGCAGGAATAGATAGATATTTTTCTATAAATATATATGTATATATAATATAATATAATATAACGAAAGAATACCGACAAATTACATAGAATTTTTTTTTAATAAAAAAAATAGTACTTTATTCATCGCGGGGGGATATTCCTTATACATCGCCTTTATATATATATATACAGTATATCCCTTTCCCTTACCCTAACCTAACCTAACTTTAATCCATGTGACACTAACCTAAGTGACAGATAGGGTTTCACATTTTTAAGTCCCAGAATATATATGAAAAATGAAAAGGGAGAGGTGTGACAAAGGTAACAAAATGGAAGCGCACGCGATGAATAAATTTATTTATTTCAAAAAAAAAATTTAAATCAAAATAAGTTATTTATTTAACGGTAAACTTCCAGTTTCATTAAATTCGAAAATTCGCAATCAACCGGTTTTATTAAGCCCGGTTTTCGAATCTGAAAAAACAAGACCCTTTTTTATGTTATGTTGCATTGAATTGTACCAAACGGTTCCAACCTCTAATTTGTATGATTGGTCAATTTTTATAATAATATACTCAATTTTTGATTGGTCTAATTTTTTATTAAATTTAATATAAATATTAAAATAATAATATCGCTTGATAGTAATATATATTTATTAATTAATTTTTCATAAATATTTCAAATGCTATTTTAAATTTTTTTGCAGCTTGAGAGTTAAATAATTTTTGCTTTGATAATTGATAATTCTTTAGGTTCATCATTTTCTATTAACTAAATTTTATCATCTTAATCAATTTTAATTTTGAAATTTTCTTTAGTGATTCTACAAATAATATTTACATTATTATTAATTTTAATTTTAATAGTTTCTTAACAATACAAAATACTTATACTTAAAATATTGTAATAATTTTAATGATAAACATGATCATATGAAAGAGAAATGGATTTCATTAATGTGTAAGAATTAGATATTGATTGTAATATCTTGTATGAATTCCGAAGGTTACATTTATCTAATAAATCAAATGGTGAATATTCTGAACTAAAGTTATTATTTATCTATATTTATATTAAGAGTTGCAAGATGATGTGAAAGTTTATTTTTATTGTACTAATTAATTTTTATCTGTTTGCTTTTTATAATATTATTTTTAATCTTTATAAATAATATTAAAAGAAAAATAAATGCTTTATTAGTTAAATCTAATAAATCTTTTTACAATAAAAATACTTTTTTGTTATAATAAATGTATTATAAAATCCATTATTATGATAAAGATAATATAAATTACTCTTGGAAGTTATTTATATATATCTGTTTTTCTTATTTATTATTAAATTAATAAATAATAATTTTATATAGAATAGTTATTAAATATCATAAGATACTTTTAGTATTTTAAGAATAAAATGATTAATATATTTTTAATATCAAATATCTGAAAAAAAGATAATAGTATTTTATTATAAACAAATATTAAATTTTTATACAAGTATTAATATATATTTTTCAATTGTCTAATTTAAAGATCATTGTATAAATATTTAAAACTAAAAAAATAGTATTACTTAAAAGAACTTTAATATAAAGTATTTAATATCTCTAGAATAAACTAACTTTATTTTTTCTTTAACATATAAAGTAATTCATTTTAAATATCTGATACTAACTATAATAAAAAATTAATTTTCAAGAATAATTTTATTAGTAAATTTTCTTATTACCTTAAAAATATATAGTATATATATGCAGAATCAAAAAAATTATAAAATAATAAAATAATAATTTTATATTTCTTAAAAAAAATATATAAAAATCTTATAATTAAAATAAAAGAACTAATAAATTTTAAAATTTTGATTATATTTTTTCAATTATTATTATTATATAAAAATTGTTTTTGGAGTATATTATATATTTTATTTAGCTAATTAGTAATTAATAGAATAATATTATGTTAAAGATATTCATAAAATTTTAAAAAGAATACAAATATTTTTATAATATTAATATATACTTTTATTAAATATAAATCAAGTTTAATAAAATTAATTAATAATATAATTAAGCTATTAATTTTTTATTTTCATAAATATCTGCATTATAATAATAAATAGTTATAATTAAAGTATTATTATTAATAAATAAATTATATATAATATTCTTTAAAATTGCATGAGTATAGAAATAGTAAAAAATGATAATTATGTAAATTATAGTACTGATAAATATAATTATTGATATCTATAAATTGTAAATATTATAATAGTTATCAATATTTACAAACTATTATATTTTTTAATACTTCAAGAGCTCTTTTATAACATCATCTCTATGAATTAAAGATATAATATTCTTCTCATACTAATTTTTTAATTAGATAAGATTTTAATAGTTTATTTAAAGATATTAAAATTATTCAAAAATATCACAATATCCTTTTTCAATGAATTGATATATTTATTTCCTATTTTACAAGAAAATAGCATAATAAAAAAGACTTTTTTACTATTATAAAATAGTATGATTTATAAAACTTTTATCACTTAGATTTATTAGCTTTTTAAGTATTTTAAAGAATAATATAAGTTAATATTTTTAGATTCTATATCCTTTCAAGTATTTTTTTAATCATAAATTAATAATAATTTTTCTTTCTTTTCTTTTAAATAAAAAATTAGTTTTATTGATTTATCACTTTAATAAAATTAATTTTACTATTTTTTTATTATCACTTATTTTAAATATACTATTATCAGAATTAATTCTTTCTATTATCAATTTATTTTATATATGATTAGATTTTTATTATTATTTAAATATAATAATACTTTCAGATCTAATATTCTTCTTAGTGTTATTTATTATATAACTCATATAATGGTTGTAATAAAATTAAGTAATATCTAATTATTAAGTAAAATTCATAGTTTTATATTATAAGGTAATGCATTTAATATTTTTTATGAATCTTTAAAACTTATATTATTAATGATTTGATAAATCATATGAAATATGATTAAATTAATCTGTAAAGTTAGATATTAAGTATTTATTTCTAAATATAATGAAAAATTCTTATTAGTTATGAAAAATATATTAACTATATATAATTAAATTAATTAATATGTGCAATTAATATGTAATTTTTTTTTTAAAAAAAAAGATTTAAAATTTATTATATAATTATATATTAGAAATTTATACTATTTATTCATATATTTAACTAATCAAATTTATTAAAAGATTTTCTATTAAAGGAATTTCTAATAAATTAAATTTTATATTCTTTCTTATTTAATAATTTGTATTTTATTAAATCTTTAAAAATTTGTTTCAAATTTAAATTAATAAAATGTTTCAATAATTAGTTTTAATTATAAAATAATAGAGATAAGTAAATAAGACCTAAATAATAAAATTCAAAACTATTTAAAAAATATAAATTAATTATCTTATTAATAATATTTCTTATATCATCAAATTAAATATATATAATCAATTCTTTTTTTAAACTGTTATCAAGTATTTACTATTATATCAAATAAGAAATTTTAATATCATATAGAATTACTTATCTATATTTTAAATAATTTTCTGAATAGTTCAATTTAATCTAAATTATAAGCTAATCTAAATCTAAACTAAAATTTTAGTTTAATTTAATTTAGATTATTAATCTTAAAAATGCTAATATATATCTGACTGGTAAAAATTTAAATTAAATTAAAAATTTTAAATTAATCTAAAAATTTAGTTCATTTAAAATAGTTTTTATCATTTTATAAATGATATTTTTATCATTTATTTGAAATAATTTTATTTAAATGATGTTTTTATTTTTTTAATTGAATGATATTTTTATAATTTATTTAAAATAATGTTATTACTGTTTCAATTAAATAATTTTTTATTATTTATTTAGAATTATATTATTATTATTTTAATTAAATGATTCTTTTATTATTTATTTAGAATGATAATAATAACATTTCAATTGATTATACTTATATTATTTATTTAGAATAATATCTTTATCATTTTAATTAAATGATTTTTTTACATTTATTTGAAATAATCTTTTTAATTGAATAATTATTTTATTGTTTATTTGAAATATTACAATTGAATAATTCTTTTATTATTCATTTGAAATAATATTACTATTATTCAAATTAAATAATTCTTTTATCATTTATTTAAAACAAATTATCTAAAATTTTTGAATTAATTTTTATATAATTTGAAATTAAATTAAAATTGATTTAACTGAAAATTGCATTTTACTAGACTAAAATTTTATAGTTTATCAGTACAAATTGATCTAAAATATAATGAACTAATATTATATAATTATGATTTTTTAAAAATATTTATATAAATAAACTTAATTTTTTCACTTTTTAAAAATAATTTAACTCATACTTTATCTTTTTACAATCAAATTTTAATTTTTTCAAATTTTTTCTTACATATTATCAAAATATCAACAAAAAATTGTCTTAGAAATAAAGAATATAATTTAAATTTTATAAATCAACTAGCTAATCAACCAGTCAACTTTTTTAAATAATAAACTGATTTTTTTTACTTTTTATAATAGAAAAAATATATTTCAGGTGATTTAATAGGAAAATATTATTAAAGTTTACTGATTAATTTTCTATTAATAAAATAAGCAAAAAAAAAAATATAATAATAATATATAATAAAAATATAATCCATTTTTTCTAAAATTTTATAAAATCGTTTAAAAAATGTAAAAAATAATAAATAAAATAATATAAAATAAAAATTTTTTGAATTTATATTAGATTTTAATTATTTATTTAATAAATTTAATAAAATAAAAATATATTAATTTTATATACTTATTTGACTGAATTAATGCTAAATTAAGACTAATTTAAACTAATATATAGTTATTTAAATTCTAAATTAATATTAAATTAAAGATAGTTTTATGTTAATTTATAATTAAAATTAAGTTCTGAATTGATACTAAATGTCTATATTCAATCAAAATTAATTGATGTGATTAATAATAATTTAGATACTTAAAAAATATGACTAATTGATTATAAATAGTATCAAAATGAACCTAAATTTATTTATATGATTTTTATCAATTTGGACTATTTTAATTATATAAAATATAAAACTAATTTTTTATGCAAAAAAGTGTCAACTATTTATTTTATTTACAAATTTAATAATTTGTAGACTTATCTAATTTTTTTCTATTATAATCTTTATAATAGCTAAAGAAAATCTCTTAAATATTTATAAATATTTAATAAAAAATATATTTTAATATTAAAAATATTAATATGATATGTCTACTTTAGTTTTTGAGAATAACATCTAGATATTTCTTTTGCATAACTTGATTTTTACTTAAATACTCTTAGCTAATAACCTATTTATAATTTTTAATAAAAAGAAATTGACTTATAATTAAGGTTGTTTATCTAAACTTATTTAGATTTAGCAAAATATCTAAACTATAATTTTTACAAAAGTTTAATAAAGTTTCGTATTTTTATAAGCTTTGATATAATTTTATCTTTTTCAGAATTTTGCAGATTTTTTAATAAGATTTTAATATAATTTTGCTAAATTTTACCTTTTCTATTTAAATAACTTGTAAAACCTTATATTTCGTCTACAACTTTACTCATAATCTATATTTAAAAATTATTTCATATATATAAAAGATCTAAATTATAGGTTAGAATAGATCAAAGCTTTACATATCTTTAAATTATTAGCTTTAAAATATTAATGCAATTATAATAATACTCTATGCTTGATTTTTTCAATAAATTATATATAAACATTTCTGTAAATCTTAACTTTAGTCATATATTTTATAATAAGAATAATACAAATATATAATAATAAAATTAAGTTTATAATATTTCATAAATATCTTTTAGAAAGTGATCTAAATATGTAAGACTAAATATATTTGTTTTAAGATAAAGGTCATAATTAAAGATGGCACATCAATTAGTTGCAACAAATGATAAATAAGCATCACAATATTACAATGAATTGTAACATTATTAAAATTTAAGTTGCAATAGATGATAAATAAGTATCACAATGTTGCAACATCATCTTTAGTCATAATACTTACTTAAGTTTTTATATTCATACTTTATAAACATGTTCATAATTCTTTTATGTATTTTATCACTAAGTTAACCATTAAATTTGTAAATTAGTAAAAGTTTTATTTTCTTAAACGTTTCATAAAATCAATATACTCATAAAAATAAATCCTTTTTTTACATTAAAACAATTTGTTTTGAAATAAAATTTTAAACTATTATTTTATTATTGATTAATTTTTATTCAAATTTTCATAAAATTTGTCAAGCTAGTACATATTATCAAGTTAATTTACTTTTATAGACTTATACTATTTAAAGGTCTCGATAGTAACTAAATCTGATAAGTATTAATAAAACATCTAACAAATTTACAGATTAAATGAAAATCATATTCTCAAAAGTTATAAAAGACTACTGAAATCATAGTTTTTTTTATTGTTTGTATTTTTTAAATGCTCAATATAATTTTTATTTATATTAAAAGTTTTTACAAATATAATAGTTATTTATTTTATTGAATTGTCTTTAGTATTTATCTGTTATAATAAGATCAGTTTTAACAGCTAAGACATCATAGATGTATACTAATTCTTTATCAATTCTTCAAATAAATTTTTATATGACATTTGGTTTTTAATATAAGAAGGGTTTCTCTTATATCAATCTAATAGATTGTATAGCAATCACTATTAACCTTTTGTTTTGCAAATTTGCAGATTTTAGAAACCTCTTTTATGATACCTTCTTTATCATCCTCTTTCTTATTATCATTCTTAATAATGGACTAGAAAATTTTCAGTTTTTTAGCTTTGGAAGCACCTATTACAAAGATGTCTTTTTCTTTATGTGTTGTATCCCCATAAGCTAAGCTATCTGGATTCTTAATCCACAGAAAGTGATTCTTTTGACAATAACTTGTCATTTGATTTAATAATATCTGTAAGAGCTATGAGATGAATAGTATATTGTCTGTTAAAGTTTTTGCTATATATAACTCCTTTTGGTTTTTCTTTCATTCCCAAACATTTATAGAGATATCAGGATTCATTTCTTCAATCTTTTGGAAAATTTGCGATGAAATAGGAGTAAGCATTGGAATTCCTTTCAAATTAACCTTATCTAAATGTGACTTAAACTTTTTGCCCTGAAAATTCGTTTGAGATGCTCTATATATATGTCTATCCTGATCCACTATTTAACATTTCTTCGATTTTCTTATCTATTTCTGGGGCAGTAAGAGTTATGTGTTCATCTATAACTCCTTCAGAAAGAATTGCTCGCATTCCTCCTCTATGCCATATTTCTTTTGTTATTATTTCGAAATATATTTTTTTTTTGCGAATCCGCAATCAATTCGGTAACCTTCATTCAGTCAATGGCTTGGTCTAAATTGGAATGGTCTCATTTTGGCTTGGCTAAATAAATAACAGGTATTTCCACAAAAATATAAATACCGAAACGGTGCCGTTCCCAAAGAAAATTGTTTTCCAAATGTTTAAAATTTTTCCGTCTATATCCTTTTTTCCTCGATATACCAAGCTTGAAAAAATCCTTATAATAGCATGTATCATTCATTCAAGTTTATATTTTATCGTCGGTATGATTACTATGATACATTTGTTAAGATATGATGATACAATTCCTATATTTTAATTCCTTTACTTGTATTGATTCCAATTTGTTCTTCGATTATTATTGTAAGTGCCAAAGCCCATGTTTTTATTTTTGATTTTTATTGATTATAATAAAAAAAATTTTTTCTTTTTAATTAAAAAAAAAATTATAGATATGGGAAAGATCAGTCTTACACGGAATCGTACACATAGTGATGAATATACTATTCTTTATATCATATATTATCCTTACTAACTATTGTAAAAATGAGAATCATTGTTATGTTCGTGGTGTACGTAATGATTATTTGTTTGGGTCGATTCTTCACGCCACATTTGTTATAATTTATTGTATTTTAATTTATTTACTTTGGCATTACAAGTGAATTTTTAATTTTTTTTTTTTGGAAACTTTTTTAGAAATCTTACCGATTTTTTTGGGTTAGAATTTGGACTACGACGAGAGATATGAAAATTACAAAAAAGCAAAATATTAATAGTAAGCATACCAAGAAAAATCTTTTTAAAGTTATCAAATTTTTATTGATTTTTTTTTTTCTAGAAATGTATAAAGTTTATCAATATCAAATGGTTTTAATGCATGCAATTTTCATAATTGTTGGAGGTTGGGCTTACTATACGTGGTTTAAAGAAGTAAGCTTGTTTAACTTTAATGCAAATCATATGGAATAGAAAAAAATATTCGGTTTGGCCCATATACATTCCTGATCAAATAATATATTTGCTTTCACTGGGATTCATACTTAGAGCTGTAAGTATACAATCAGTATATGGGATCATGTGAGCTGAAATATTATCCTAACTCGAGTGCATTTTAACTTTTAAATAGATAAGAGAAGAATTAAGATGGATGATGAATATTTTATTACTAATCAACATTTTGGAAATTGGAAATATTTTATATAGGTTAATCGTATGGTGCCCTGACGATTTATTGAATTCCAATGAATTTGGTAGATGCAAGTTTAAAAATAGAATTAAATATGTCACTGATTATACGACCATATTCATAATTGGTATCTTTTGTCTATTGATTACTATTTCACATTTCTTAACCCTTTTGATCTGTTATAAGAATTTTGGGAATAATTTCGGATTTTATTGTAAGTATTTAATTTTTCCTCTCTTGAAAAAAATAAAAAAAAACCTCATTATCATTCTTTATCATTTGAAAAAAAGTGAAATATGTTGAAATTCCACCAGAATATAATTATAATGACGATATTCCAATAAGAAGCAAAGGTGTTATTGGACGCGTATAATTTTATATACGCAGTCTACAATGATAATTCTATGTAAAATATTTCTAATTTTTTTTTCTTCAGTCTGTGGCGGATCGCAATTTCAGTTAGCTGATCGTTCGATTTCAATTTCAGATACCCGAAAGGCAATCAATTTGTTCTTTGAACTCAATTTCCATTTTCAGGCGAAATCTTTCAACCTCCATGGTAATTTCTGGTTTGTCGCCTTAAACAATTTAATACATAATCGAAATCTATATAACGATTACTACCTTTGTAATGGAAGTAAATTTTTAATATTGATCTTACTTTTATAGAAACTGCTAAATTCATTAAATCGGAGCATGAAAATTAACTTTGAACCTTAAATATTAAATCCAGATTTGATATTTATCTGTATTAAGTTTAAAAGATAATTTTGTTTTTTATATAGTGAAACTGCTAAATTACTTATCGCTAAAAAATTTGTTTTATTATTTTAATTTAAAAGTCCTTTAAAACTATCGCTTGTATAGTATTAATTAATTTTGAAAAAATATGATTTTATTGTTATATTAAAATATTAAAGGATCTTTCTGTTTAATGATAATTTTTTTTATTAGATTTATCTCATTAAATATAAAGAATTTATATTTTTTTAGAATATTTTTAAATCTTGTTTATGTTATCTTATTATCTATGATCAGAAACAAATATTTTTAACTTTATTAAATTCACCTTAATAAGATGAATTTTATGGGTTTATAAAGTCGGAGTATTATTGACTAAGAAAATAAATTTGACATTTTTTTAAAACAATAGTTGGGACATGCAATATGACCGACCGTTAATGTATAAATACCATCAAAGATCAAGTTTGAGAGAATCTATGTTCAATAAAATTTTAAGTATAATGTTTATCTTATAAAGAAACTTAAAAATTGAATTAATATTACCTAAAGAGTCACTAAGTAAATAAAATTCTTCATTAATTAATTTAGAATTCTGAGGTTCGGGAAGGTTCTCGAAATCAAGGCGTCTACTTGTGTAAACCGCTTGAGGATCGGAAGTAGTATTTGATTCTATGGATAATGATTTTTCATGGAGTTCTACTGCCTCATTATATTGCATAGCGAACTCTGGATCTTTTTTGTTCAAAACTTCATTAATCCAATTTTGGAAAACTTTGCATAATTCACCAGCGGTTGGACGTGCTAATGGATTTGCATCTAAACATCGATTAATCTCCTGTTCAAACAATTGTGATACTTTCCTTTTAAACTTTGGTCTTAATCCTTTACAGATTTTGATGACAAGAAATTCGTCATGAGGCAAATCATGGTATGTTGGTATTTCATTAAACATTTCATGTGTAAGTATTCCGAAAGAATAAATATCAGATGCCGAAGTGTACTCCTTCCCTCTAAGAACCTCTGGAGCTACGTATGGTATGACTCCATAAATGTCGCACTTCTCTGATTGACTAGATACAGGCTGGCATAATCCTAAATCGGTAATACGACATTCCCAATCACTGTAAATTAATATATTTCCAGGATGCAGATCCTTATGAACGTACCCCTTTTCATGAATCTCTTTTAATCCTTCCGCAATACGATTTAAAAGATATAATTTATTATCTAAATAAATATGATTAAAATTATCTTTCAAGTATTTTCTCATATTACTGCCATCTATAAAATCAATTACCATCATATAATTCTTAGTAATTGGATCTTGAGAAATTCCTTGAGAATTTACGATAGGAAATTCGAACAAATTGTGGAAATAAATCTATACATTTTACATTTTATTATATTCATGAACGTTAATGAATTGTTCAATTTCTGAATTTAATGATTCAATTAACATATACCTCTTTTAAAAATTCTGCAGTCATATTTTGTGAATCATTTAGACTTTTTAAAACATAATATCCTCCGGCAGCTCTTGTCCAATCATTCTTTTTATGATCCCATTCGACAATAACTCCCTCATCCAGATATGCTTTATATACGGTACCAAATCCTCCTTTCGCGAGGAATTTAACATCTTTGAATTTGTTATAAGGGATCCATTCTAATATTTCTTGAGAACGAGTTGCTTTTAATTGAATACTTTGTATAAATTCATCGATTTCTTTATTACCGCTTGTCCAGTTGCCAAAGTTTTGTTTCAAACGGTTCGAATTACAAAGTTGACACCAATCATGAGCGGTACAGATTTGGCCACAGTCTTTACATAACCCATGAAATCTATACCTGGTTTTCAATTCTTTATTTGGTATCAACTTATCAATTAATGATTGTTGTTCAGTAGTCAACGTATAACGGTTAAAATCTTTAATTTGTTCGATAACTTCTTTACCGATATTAGACTCCATGATTAAAGAATATTTGGGATTAAGTTGAATAAAATAGAATTGGAGTTTTGCGACACGAGCAAAAAACAATACAAATGATTTTTGCTATTGTTCGTTTGTTTAACAGTCGATCAATTTTAAATGTATCAAATCAAAGGTTTTATTAACAATTTGTTTAACCAACGCTTGGTATGACAACAATAATCTGACAAAACATAACCTATTTAAGAGTATATGGAAAATCGGTCAGTACTTTTCGAGAAATTTTAGTATAAATCTATATACTATCAAATTTCGCGAAAAGTATTGATCTGCAACATCTTACCATACCGGTAATTACACCTTAAAAAGATCAATTGATTATTATGCTTCAGATTCTTATTGATAAAGCGCAAAAGATTTAATTTAAACAATTTAATATATATTATATAAGTTTATTTAAACATTTAAATGTACGGCACGATCGAAAACTTCGGATCATCTGGAAAAAATCGGAAAGCGTGTAATAACACAAGTTTCAGCTTTTGTTTGGTATTAATCAAAAAATAATATTCTTTTTATATTAATTTAGGACCTATCTTTTTAATAAAGAATTTTCTAAATGTTTATTTACTTTCTTATTGTTATATTATTTAAAACTTTTGTAAAGCTTATAAAATTATAGTTGAAAATTTTTATATTAATAATTAATAATATGGAAGCTTAGCTTTAAAATATTAATATCAGATTTTCTCTTTCAATTAAGATGATGGACTTCAAGAATTATATCCTAAGCCAATGGAAAGAACTTTATTCCATTAATATGAATGAAGCCTAATAGGCCAATCTTCTTTAATAATGAATTTAATAATAATCCTTTATCGATGCCCTTGATCCAATTTTCATTGATTTTATTGGCTTCATTGGTCGAGAGAATTGGCAATAGGAGAATGATATAATATTCTACTACATGGGAATAAAATTCTTAGCCTTTTTATGCTTAGTTAAAATTTTTTTGAAGTTAGATAATATTTTATACTCACTATTACTGTGAAGGTTCATGTGCTCTTGCTGCTTTATATATGGTTAAAATATTAATTTTTTATATAATTTTATTTCCAAAAATTTTTGTAAAACTGAATTATTCGCACAGGTTAAAATAATAAAGATGTTGCTTTTGATGTTTTTATAAATTTATTTTTAACAATAGATTGCACTTTAATATCTTCAATAATTTTTTCTTTTTCCTCAAAAGCAAAATTTTCTTCAAAAAATAAGATATCTTCTAATTCTTTTTAATGTATAATCTGAACATCCAATTTATCATCATAATCATTCTTTATATTTGAATAGACGTCGAATTTTACTATTATAAGAATCTCAAAGTATAAGAAAATGGTTCTTCAAAATTGCTATTGATATTATTTGCGTCGAATAAAAACTTATTTTACAGTTGATGACATGTGAGCGAAAGTATATTGTTGCCCCCAGATTTTAGATTATAAATTTAATGGTTTTTCTTTTTTACATTAACATGAAACTTTTGTATAATGTAAACTTTTTGACGTGTATTACAAATACCTGAAAGGTAATTATAGGTTGCTGTTAGATTTTCTGCTATGTAACGATTGATCAACAAAATCACCTGATCATACTAATTCTAAAACGATGATAAGGTTTTTGGACAAATGTTAAAATCGAAACTAATTCTAATTTTAACGTTTTGCCAAATTTTTTTAAAGGCAAAACTGACATTTAGTAAAATTTTCAATGTATGACAAATGTTTTAACAGTGGTAAAACCCATCAAAACCTATGAGATTTTTAATTTCCTCTCAAAATAGAATTCCCTTCGATTGCATTTTAATATATTCCCGATTTATAACAGATATGATTGAAAAACAAAGTTTTTCTTAAATTAATTCATTTATTTAAATCTCTGTAATCAAGGTTTTTTCATTGCAACTTGAGTCGAATTCAAATTATGATCAAAAAAATCACTGCTTCGAAAATCAAGAAATTAATAATTACGACGACAATCGATTCTAAAATTTGATTATACTTTTTTTTTTTAAATCAATTCCAATTCCTCCTTTAAGGAATTCTTGAATCTTCTAAAGGAAGAAACAAAGGGCAACTATCTGTTTTTCTTTGGTATGGATATAATACTAAAATAATTATCATTTTTTAGGATGTGAACTGCGAAAATTTAATGTGCAAAATGTAGGCCTATTTATCTTTGAGGATAAAACTTCATTACATGATTTCAGGTAATCTTAATTTTTATTTTTTAGCATAAATAATGTGACAAGTATAATAAATATTTTACGATTTTGTATAAAATTTGGGAATATTAATTGTAAGGGGTTAAGCAAAAATTATTACTTAGTACCGTTATTTACGAATCAATTAATTCAATACGCCACTAAAAAAAACATTAAGATGATACATTTAGTGAAAAATTACATTTTGAGTTAAACAGTAAGTACGTACCTTATTATTGTCATAATTTCCATTTTCATGACAACAAACTTCTTGAGTTCCATCATCAAGTAATAAGGGATGACTATTAAGTGCTATTCTAGCAGTATTTACATGGAGTAGGCTAATTATGTCACCATTCGACAAATAACCCGAGTTATCTTTAGAGCCATAACGTCGAATGACCCAGTCATCGTTTTCATCTCTACCATCCCAAATGGTCACTAAATATTGTTACTTTTGTAAACTTTATAAAAATGATTTTTTGTTAAAATATTAATATCTGAAACCTACCTTCCTGATGCTTCGAAATCGGTGTGTTTCTAGAATGAGAATGTAAAAATGCCTTTGTTGCTTGATGCTTGAATCCAATAGTAGAATTAAATGGCACTGGGTTACCCGTGTTTACACTCGTATTATGAGCTTCAATAACGGTAAAAACATCATTTTTCAAATCTAATTCCCTACCATTACAAACAGCCTTTGCAAGTTTTATAAATAAAGCCTACAATGTTAAGATTTCAAATATAACTAATAAAAAAAAATTAAATTTGGTAAATACCATAGGCATGTTCATGATACGAAATTTTAAAATAACTTACAACAAAATCTTTTTTCACTTCTTCGGTACATAGACGCCAATTGAAATATCGAACATTGCTATTTAATAAAAACGGTATTTAATTTATCATTTTCGTGATCTAGTTTAATTTATAATATGGTTATTCATACCAAATTTCGCCATTAAATCCATTGCCGAAAGAACGTCCGATATATAATGGTCCTTCATTAAAGACAACATTTTCCGTTGTAACGTTCTGGATACAATAGAATCCGAACCATTGACCGTCAATGTAGATGTCTAATCTTTTTTCGGAATCAGAAAGCGTATAAGCGATATGGTGCCACCTATTCAACAAAAGTCCTTCACCGAGCTCATAAATTCCTGCATTATTAGTCCAGTTGCCGGTGAACCGAGCATGCAATGAGGATTTATTTGGTACCAACTCGAGCCTAGGAGTACGGATAAACGATTCGGTACCTAAATTTTATTTTATTGAGACCGAGGGAATAAGGTTTTAAAAAATAAAAAAAGTTAGCCTTTCTTACCTTTGTGAAAAATAGTAGCCCAATTGGAAGAATGACTCTGAAGTTTAAGTCGTAATGTCACAGATAGTTCATCGTTCACTTCGGGCAAGTCAGCATGTTCAAAGACTCGTTGAGATTGTTCATCTAAGGTAATAGGGACTGAAATAAGCTCAGCCCATTCTTTAACAATAAATTTCTTCATCTTCTGAAGAAAACCATATGATTTTTATTTCTATAGATCAAAGTACTTAAATGCAATGCATATTAAACATTTTTAATTACCTGATTTTTCCCTGTAAAAAGCTGTGATGTAACCCAGCCCTTTTTATTGACGAATTTATTTATGTCCCTAGAGCATCATATTTCGGTTGTATTGGCTAAAAAAAAAAAAAAAAAAGCATTTTGCTGATCATTTCCAATAATAAATTTTCTCAACAATATATTTTCCCGTCTATTCAAACTTTTCTGTGCTCTACTTATCTAAAAAGGCTAAGTACAAAAGTTGATGGTACAATTAACTATTCGTTTATTCATTCTTCTTCATGCGACATGATTTCGCAATACAGATAAAGTAGAATATAATTAATTATAAAGAAACAAGTCATTAGGTTCTGCCGATTAATCTATCACGGAATTTGTACTAAAAAATACTTTCGGTGAGATAAACTGTACTCATTATTCGCTTCGAATGCGTTAGATATTTTTTTATTCATTATACGTTCCTTCATTCACTTTGTAGCACGTGGTCAATTTCGAAAAAGTAAATTTTTTATATATAGCCTAGTTCGTCATTAAATACGCAGCAGCATGCTTAGTAATAGGCCAATACGTTTTACAACTAGATTGCTTGTTAGTTTTAAACTTTATTAGTAACGTAGAGATTAAATTAGAATTTTATTTATTTTTCAAATGGAACTTTCTTGTAAATAAATATCAGTACTTGCTATCCTTTTGTTCCTGATATATGAAGTAAGTCTTATTTTGAAAGTGTTTCGAGAATTTTATTAGACACCTGAAATATATAACATTTTATAACTTTTAACAGAAATCTAATAAAAACAGCATATAAAATTTTATTGTTTGTTTTATATGAAGCATAGTTAATTTTTGATCTTGACAATAATATCTCATGATGCTAAATAACTGTTTGCCTTTCAAGTTATGCAAAATTTAATAGATTTATACCTGTATATATATTAAGTGAAAACAAATCAGAAGTAATCCAAAGGAGAAATCTAAAGCGGTTTTCACGTTATTAAAAATATATATATATTTTTTTTAATATAACATTTAATTAAACTAAGATTATTAATATATATTGTCACTTGTTTATAACTTTATCATCGACCAATTATTGGAAACAAATTTCTTTGTTGCGCACCCAAGATACAGCATCAATTATCAATTTTGAAATAAAATCCAATGTCAAGTTGTAAATAGGATTTCGACTCTTTCAATCAAGAATATCTTGTGGTTGAACCAATCTCCTTAGTCAAGAATTTTTACGATCATCATGTGATAAGCCAATTCATGTTTGTTTCGGGAACCTATTGAAATTAGTTCATAAAATTTTTCCTTAGAAAGGGTCCGGGAGTTCATTATTTTTTTCGTTGTTTGGAAAAAAAAGCATTATTTAGATATTTTTTAACATGGGCATTGTGGCCGCCTATCGTTACACAAAATCGAAGATTATTGAGTACATGAAATTCTTAAAATTATATTTAAGTGTTATTCGAGATGTCAATAGACAAATGGTTATTAAATTGCAAAGGAGGTTTGAAGCACTTTTCTTGATAAAAACCTGAAATTAGATTCAAATTATCATTTCTGCAAAATTTGATTGTTTTATTAATTGAGATGCATTTTCCAGTCGTAATAAAATCAACTTATCTGTGACGTGAATCATAATATAACTCATACTCGTTTCAATTACAATTTTATATGGAAGTCAATTAATTTATTTTTAAATGCATCTGCAATTTGTAGCAAATCATGAATTTTCTGTTATAACAATGAACTTTTCATTTATGCAATAATTAAATTAATGTAGGATTGATTTTTATTGATTTTTCCACATGATTTCAATCCCCCCCTTACAGTGTTAAAAATGAAAAATCCTTATACGATTTATAAATAATAATGGCAACAAAATATATCAAAAAATAGTTGTGATCGCCTCGTCAATACCACTTTTGTTCGTCAACAATCCTTTATATGCCTCGAAATACTTATACCATTAAAATTGCATCAATTAATAATTTTGATCTTCAAGAATCGAAACAATTCCCTAAAAGCAATCTAATGTGTAAAATTTAAGGAACGCATTAGGCTTGCTTGCCTGATATGAATGACTATAGACAATAAATAAACAGTCATTCATATCCAATTAAATTTACTAATAAAGAATTTTCTGCGAAAGATTATAATATAAATAAACGATTTTCCGACCTAGCGTTTTTTAGTTTTAAAGATCATAAAATGTCAACTTTACAAGGACTCATTGCGAGGCTTTCTTACCCAGCATTACGCATGTTTCCACCAAAAGACATTTTACAAAAAAGAAGCAAAATATCCAAGCCTACGTTTGAACATTTCTCCTCCCCTTCAACATATGGTCTTATTGCAAAAGCTTCTCGACCTGTATTGTGTAATTTTCAACAAAGCAATGTTCCCCTAACTTTGCAAAGGAAAACCAACATAGTCATTCCGCCTAAGTATGACCTCACAATATTAGGAATATAATTTTTTTCCTTGAAGGCACATTTAAAACTAACATGTTTCCATTATTATTGTTATTTTTTATTTGTTAATTATCAGTTACTTTGAAAGGTATAAATCTTATTCGTCTCGTAAAAACAGAGAAACCCAAGACATTCGAGACTGGTGCGTTCAAGAAGTAAATGAGTACTTGCAAATGCATCTAGAAGAAAAATGGACGCTTCAAGAGACGAAAATATTCGAAAACAACAAGATAACAGGTTCAATCTTTTTAGACTTAACAATTGAACAGATGAAATCATTGAATATTTCATTAGTGCTTGCATTTAAAATAGACAAATTGAAGAAAGAACTACGTCAAAAAATAATTTATATTCAGAAATATGACGATGAGGGTAATCCATTACCAAATTTCGAGAGATTTATTATAGATAGTCAAGAAATGTTTGAAAAGGCTTTAAGTCGATATGATGCAATGGGATTAGAATTAATTGAAAATCAAAATAATGATAATATCAACGATCACCTCCCAAAAATTATTACGTCCTTCGATGATCTCGTTGCTGATCAAAAGTATCGATATGATGCCGCCCATATTTTCGCTGTAATAAACGGAATTACTTGGGTATAAGTTGGGAGATAAGAATTTCTTTGTGATCTTCACTCTTGCCATTTTTATTACATAGATATAAACAAATTTGTATACGCATATAATTTTCCGTAAATAAATTTCATAAGAGATTTTTAATGTTTTCGAATTCATCATCATTCAGTGCCCCGAAAAAGTCGAATTCAAGTCGCTAAATTAATGAACACTGTCCCAATCATACATTCCTTTACCCTTGTGGCCTACTAATGACCCGAGAAATTAATATAGTATAATTAATGCGTAATTTGGTATAATTCCCAAACACTGGGAAATTATTTAATTTGGGCAATGGAACATTTTACTTTATAGTAATTTCAAATATCGAAAGGTGTATCTAACTAATAATTTTGCTTTTTCAATTTACTAAAGTACATTTATTACTTTAATTTTAAGTTTTTTTTTTTGTCTCACTGCGAAAGATTAATTAAAATAGACCAATCAAAATTTGACTTTAATTAAACGTATACGGATAAAACCTTATGCAATTAAGATATTGGGTGTATTCACAAATTCAAATAGATTGGATTGGATTGAATTTTTTCTAATCCATTTAGATTAGATTGGATTTTCATATAATCTAATCCGTGTTCACAAATAAATGGATCAGATTATGA